AACATAAAAGATTCAAAAATCGTTCCAATTTTTAATTTCCATTTGCCGCTACGCAGTGGAACTGGGCTGAGATGGGATGAGTTCAGTCAGATTCTCTGACAAGCAAACACACTTATTACTGACCTCATTCTACTGGTATGAGCTTCATAATTTGCCTCAGAATTGCGAAGTAGAACTGTTCTGATAAGACCGAAAGGTATTGTGGGTAGTAGTAGCTCACCTTTGTTTGATCCGGCGTAGGTCTTCAATGAAGGGTCGAGATGTTATTTGGCTTATGTTGATGGGACTTTGCGCTTCTCTTTGACAACCTCGACACAGATGTATACGGAGAAAAAAATCGTTAATGACATTAATTGGATTGGGATATGAGGAGCGACACTACTGTGAAGCCATAACGGACACCGGGTGACGGACACACAGAGAGCCTAGAGCAGGGTGCAGTCTGATTTCAGCCGTTTATTCTCCCATACCCAAAGAGACGGCTGAAATCCAGACTAGAGCAGGTGTTGCTGGTGGAGTAATGGCCGCACTGGCCTTTTCCCCCGCCCCCAAGCAAGGGAAAAGGCCATGGGAACGAGGTTGGGCAAGGAGCGCACGCCAAAGTGAGTGCTAATAAGAAGATACATGTACCAAAATAGAAAAGAGAAAACGCTCGATTAAATAGAAAAAATGCATTACACTCGCAGCCATATATATGAAACAAACACGTTTTGCCGCCGAAAGACCTTGGTATACGTGCACTAGCCGCTATAGTGGGGGGTTGTTAATACTACCGGTAGTGGTAGGAGACTTCAGTTATATAGGCGGGAGAGAACCATAACGATAACATGTCATTTCCCCGGGAGTATGTCTCACAGGCTTATTCAAACGAATTTCAATGCGGTCACGATTTGTACGGGCTGGTGGCGTAATTATCTGTACCACAAATTTAGCAAGTGCAACAAATTTTGTAAAAGCCCCGTGAGTTTTTGCTAGCTGCTACTCCTTTTCTGCAATAGATCTTCTAGAATGTTCTCCAATGTCAGAGATCAAGGAGTTGGAAATCGAAACACGTACAATATGCTGGTCTAAGCAGAAGACTACAAGTGCCCTGCTGAACCGCCACGTTTGCTGGAAGTTGCGCAGTTCCAAGTTGCTGTGTCATCGTAAAAATAATATTACGTCACCTATATTCTAAACCAATCAAAGAACATCTCAGAATGGTATACAACAAGTATGGTGAACGTTGTGGTCAAACACGCGGTTGAAATTCGAAGGCAGTTCAGTTCAGGTTTTCAAACAGAGAAGGGGCCTTACTAGTGACATATCTCTTTTCCTACAGCAGGGAACCTAACCATGGTCTTGTGATACAATGAACAATCTTAATGCCTTGGCGGCTTTGAAATTTGTAGCGTTTATGGCGGCGTTGGTTTCACTAGAAGGAAATGGAAAATCGGACAGCGAGAAAAACAGTGGTTTGTCTGCTCGGAGCAGCTCCTGGTAAGTAAAAATAGCTTCGAAAACGAATCAGAAGGTTTCCTTTCCGTTATCTGATCGTCAGTATATGGCTTTTTGTAGTTCGCTCGTGCTTGTGAGTACGTTGGATGGTCAATTGAGCGCGTTGGATACACAAGAAAATGGAAAGCTATTGTGGAGTTTGCCAGCTTTTCACGGGCCTCTGCTATCATCAAGCCTCAGTTCGATTCAGGTATTCTACGGAAAACTTGTTCTTTAGATAATGCTCTTCTAAGAATTGATGATTGCGGGGGTGAATGCAGATGAATGGCATATTTTCACGAGTAGAACTGATTTTGACGGATAACAGTCATAACATGCGGGAATCCCCGATCGAAATTAATTAGTATAATTTTGAGTTATTTTTTGTACATCGTTATTGTTTTTAATAACTATGATATTTATTTTACATCCATACCTCTAAAAACACAAAAACACTGTGTTAAGTTTCTTTTGTTGTCAGTGACTGCTGAACATGCACAGATGCACAGGTGCATTTAATACTCTGAGTTGATCAGTCAATGAAAATCAATCACAGGAAACCTATCAACGATCATTACAATCAATAACAATAAATGGTTAATCCCTGTAAATTGCTTGCTTCAGTGAATGGAAATTTGAATGAAAATCTTTAGAACTCTGGCTGGTGAGCTCCTCAGTGTGATACTCAGTGATTAATTTTGCAATTTGATGGCCTCTCTAGCTCAAACTGTTGGAGAAAACCCACGATGTTTACCTTGGAATAATAATAGTATTACAGAGTTTGAAGGAAGGTAGCAAAATATGATGGGCTTCTCATATATCAAGGCTGTTTATGAATGCACTCCTCACCTTCATAGCAGAAAAATATATTATTATTGTACACCACATTCAGGTTTATCATTCACAAGAAAGCTAGCCCGCCAGCAAAGAAATACCGCAAAGAAATACTGTAGATCTGATCCAATTCATTGCATTGCCATGATGAGACTGGCCCACTCTGTCTTCGCATGTAAAATACCGTATAGTTTTAGCCCGTGCGCTATATTTTTATTGCAGCAAACATATCAATTAACAAATAAAGAAGCCTAAGCCATGTATTACACTGTGATAAAATGCTCCGGTCATTTGAGAACTCTTGAGAAATGTAGCAAATACTTGCCTGCAGCTCATGTTTTATCACAGTGTAAAACATGTACATAGCTTAGGCTTCTTCATTTGCTTTATGATATAGAGGTAATGTGGTGAAAAACAATAAAACACGCTTTTTCTATGTTTTATACTGTCACCGTGATAAAACATGGGTTTTCGACCAATCAGAGCGTGCGCTGTTACCTATCTATATTATAATGAAATATATGCATTTGAAGTCTGCTCACAGTGCCAGATTTGTTTATGTGTCTATGTGGTCGGATAATTGGCTCTATTGAAATCAAGGTCCTCCAAATTGCACACTACACCTAATTCTGCTATGAATTTGGAAATGTGTCTGGGATAATAATTATGTTGTCCTGTTGTATC